GAACTCTTGTGCTTCTTCCTCCACTTTCCTCTCAATTTTCGAGCTCATCAGTTTTCGGAGCTTTTATAAATGGAAGATTTAGGTCCTGTCTAATGCCTCTGCCAGCTCGTCACTCGATCCGGTCCCCAGTGGTAGTGGTTTTCCCTGGCAGTCGTTTTTGATTGAATTTATCCTTTCTTCCTTTATAGGTTCTGGAAAGGCCTCAGTCATTTCTTCTTTACGAGGGAACTTTCCTTCAGTACTTTTTAGAATCTTTCTGTGTAGCACAGGTTGGCCTCCAGCTTAGGATCTTCGGCCTTGGCCTTTCGAGTGCTTTGGGGGCCTGCTCCATCCACTGTGTGGGTTCTCATGATCAGACTCCAGCGGCCAGGCTTGGCAGCAGAGGTCTTTAACCACTGAGCCATCTTGCCAGCTCTGGATTTATTTTTTAAGTATAAAATAGGGATCCTTTTAGAAGTATGCTAGCATTTGATGGGAGGTGTCAGTCCCGACTTTTCTGCCTTTGGAGAGAGCTACCCGGCTGTTCCAGCATCAGTAGAGGAGGGTCCTCTTTCCCTGGGTAGGATGTCTTCTGCCCTCTTGGTCCCCATATGAATTTGTTTGTTCATGTGCCTTAACCGCTGAGACATTTAGTGTTGGCCAGGCTTGTCCCTTGGCTCTGCTTTTTTTGTGTGTGTGTGTGCGTTTCATATGAACTGTAGGATCAGCATGTGGAACTGGAAAAGAAACTTACGTTTCTACTGTAATTCCTTTAAATTACACACTAGCATTGGGAAGATTGCGAGGAATGCCCTTTCCTTGGCTGGAGTGCCCTCCTTGTCCTCGGGAGTGCATTCCAGTGCCCTCCCGAAGGGTCCACACGTTCTCGGGAGGCATCATCTCAGGTGCCGCCCTTGTAAATGCAGACTCTTCCACCGTGTTTTCTCACCGCTTGATTCTTGGCGATGGCATGTCCCACATTATGTCTGTCAAGCCAGTGGGGGCTGGTAGACAGCGCGTGAGTAACGACCCCACAGAATGGCGTGGTGTTCAGACAGGTGGCCTTTCCTGTGCCGGGGGCTGCTGTCCCCCAATAGATCTGTCCTGCCTTCCCTCTTGGTCACCGTTTCCTGATTGATAGTATGCCAACCCCCTGCCCGTGCCTCGGGAGCTCCAGAAACCTCCAGACTCCTGAGCAGGCCATGCCTCCACAGCTAGGTAAAAGGAAGTGCAGCCTAAGAGTTCGGCCTGATTCTGCCTCAGCCTCAGATTGCTGTCTGAGGCTGTCCAAATGTCTTCTGACACTCAGCCCATGGTAGCCGTGATGTTGACCCTGTAGAGACACTGTGAAGATTGTGATATATGTAAAATACCTAGCCCAGGGCCTGGCACGAAGGCTGCATCCTCCCGACCCTTGACTGTCGTTGCTGTGAGAGAAGGTAAAACCGGTTCCTGGCTGTGTGTGAGAACTCCAGATTGCCGCCCTGGGAGTGAGACCCAAGGCTCCTCAGGCAAAGCTTCTTGAATGAGCTGAAGGTCTGCCTGAATCCTTTCCGTTTTCTCTCTTCCACCCTCCTATTTCTCTTCCCTTTCTTTTCTGACAAATACTTCATTCCACAGCCTAGGCTGGCATTGATCTCTTACCTCAGTCTCCCAAGTCCTGGGATCACAGGTATGAGCCACTACATCCGCTCTCCTGCAGATCCTATCCCTGTCCTAATCTGGGCAGGGTGGAGGAAGTAACCTTAGTAAGCACATGATGCTGGGTAAATCCGGTTTTCTATGTGACAGAGTGCACGTCAGCCTGCTGTTGTGTGGCTGGTATCCTAACAGCTGCGTTGGGGTCCATGTCCCTTTCAGTGTCTAGCAGACACCTTATTAGTCATGAAGTCCATCGAGAGCAGGTTGTACTTTTTCCAAGGCCATCTGGAATCGACTGGACCGCCTGTCTTCATCCAGCTGCGTGTCCTTGGGCGAGTCATGTTCCCACTCCAGGCCTTCTGTTCCTCATTGTAAACCTAGGGGGCTGGTTAGAACACCCTCTGCACCCCATCCTTCCAGGCTCTCAAGTTCTTGGATTCTAATGGGGGTGAACGTAGACCTCGGTGGCAAAGCACGTCATGGTAAGCTCTCGAGATGGCTGTCTGGCGCTATTGCAGTTGTTAATAGAACAGGCCTCTGAATTGTAGCCAGAACATAATGAATCCCATTTCTGTAGAACAATGGTGATGATGGGACTAGTCATGTAGTAGGGTGGTTGACGTGGCTAGCCCGTTTGGCCCGGTACCATTCTACAACAGCTATGAAAGTGAGACTCTGGCAAACGAGTTGAACATGGCGCCTGAGGAGCTTCTGACGGGAGCTAGGTGTGTGCGTCCCTCAGTTGCTTTCGGATTCTCTCAGGCTGGCAGGACTGGGATTTAGATCTACAGGTGCATTGCTTTGAAGGGTGGGGTCCTCCCACAGGTTCCAGATGGTTAGGAGCTTGAAGGGTGTTTGGGGCCACCTGGTTGAGGGCTCTACTCTGACAGGTGGGGACCCTAGTGTCTGGAGAAGAGCTTGCTCAGGACTTAGAGCTGGTGGAGAGACAACAGGTGGGCTTCTCTGTGCCAAGGTTGTACCCTCTGGTGAGTGTTCTCAACCTCCTAACACTGTGACTCTTTAATACAGTTCATGCTGTGGTGACCTCCAACCATACAATTATTTTGTTGGTACTTCATGACCATAATTTTGCTACTGTTATGAATCATAACATGTAAATATCTGTGTTTTCTGGTGGTCTTAGGTGACCCCTATGAAAGGGTCGTTCGACCCCCCCGATACTCTAGTGGATCCTACCTGCCTCTGCAGGTCCAGCAGTTTCTGTTCTCTGGAAGGTGTGTTTGGCAATCTCTCAACCCAAGTCATCAGGAACACTGTCTCCTAGGCTAAAGTGGTGGCCTTCTGAACATAGGACTTTTTATGGACCTGGTGGGAGTGGCCATGGGAGCAGGGATGCTTTGTGGCTGCTGCAGAATGTCCCTAAGACTTGGGCACAATGGCTGTGGTTTGGGGTTCTGTCTGGTCTGCCTTTGTGTTGCCAGTCTAGGAGAACCAGAGAGACTGGGGGAGCTGCAGCGTGTGAGGGCCCGTAGAAAGACTGTATTAGATACATGTTCATTTTCAAATTCTGACTGGAACAAAAATGCCAAGATTAACTTGTCTCTGGTGAGGAACGTAAAATCTAGAGGTTTGTAGGCCTGGGCCGGCTCTACACTCACTCGGCCGAGAAGGCTGAGGCGCAAAAGAACAAAGGATGGGGCCCTTGCTCTGGGGAAGTTTATTTTAGTGGGATTGGGAGCTGAGCCCCCATTTCCAGCCCTGGGTGAGTTTGTAGTTTGAAGAGTCAAGGATTAGGAAGCGACATGGTGTGGGCAAGTCAGAGCGAGAAGCTTCAGATCTGGGAGGTTCAGTACAGGCCCTGGGTCCTTGTAGAAGGGAGAGAAGACGGGACTAGAGGTGAGAGAATGGGAATGTGGCAGGAACTGCCGTGCTGAGGTGGGAACCCAGCGCTCCTGGGGATGCCCAGGCTGCCAGGAAGCCACTTGCTGGCTTCCGGGAACAGAGGTCCTTCGTGAGTACCCGTGCCTTGACAACTTGTACAAGGTAACAGAATCCCTTCCAGAATCTCGAGGTGCTTCGTAAGGCCCAGCTCTACCGTATCAGGACATGCCTGGTTGCTAGGAAAGGACGTGCTCTTCCGCCTCGTTTTGAGTTGGGCAGTAGTTCAAGGCTACCAGGGAGCTCTGCACTTAACCCCAAGAGGGTAATGGCTGGTGGACAAGACAGAAAGGCTGACCAGAGCCGCCTAGGTTAGACTAATGTCCACAGCTAGCCCCTGGCCTGCACCAGCCCTCCAGAGATAGGATGAGTATGGAACCTTCTGGGACTCAGAATTCAGCAAGGCTTTCCAGGAAAGAGCCCAACTCTGGGCTTTTTCTCTTGGCACTGTGGCCACCCAAGGGTTAAATATTTCTTTCCACAGAAGCAGCAGCAAGCCCAACCTGGAAGGGGGCACCCCCAGGCAGAGGAAAGCCTTTGGAAGGGAGGAGGAGCTGAGGGCCAGTGGCTGAGATAGAAAGCAAAGGGTTAACAGATGGAGCAGTGCTGATAAAATGCCCCAAATTCCTGGTCCTGCCTTCAATGGGAGGACGTCTGGCAAATGTCAACGATAAAAAATGCATTTTAATGGCACCTGATGTAGCCGCTACCGTGGGGGCACAGCCATATGAAGCAGGTTTGGGGCAGTTAACTACTGTGTGTCTCTGCCTGGGCTCAGGGGACCAAGCATCTTGGGCTCTTCCCTAAGCTTCAGTCAGCTAGGCTGACCTCTGTCCCCAAGCCTCGTCCCCTGCTCTTGGGTGCTCAAGGTCCCCTGCAGGCCCAGGCAGCAGTTCAGGAACAGTGCTTTCACAGGATAAGTGTTCCTCAGGCTAGGAACTGCCTTGAGCGGCTTGGAGGGCGGCAAGCAACTGGTCTCCCATGGTGCCGAGCTAGAGCAGGAGATCTTCAGCTTCTTCTCTCCTCTCTCCTGTCCTGCAGACGCTTACCATAGTGTTGACAGATGTGGCTGAGCACGTACAGGGGGCAGTCCCGGGAAAGGCAGGGCTCCTGTAGGTTGAGGGGAGGGAGGAGGCTGTGGACTAGGATCTCACAGATGAGGTCCAGAGAAGGTGAGGGACATAAGGTCAGTGCGTCAGCAGCACCCTGGATTTCTGCCTGTAGTTCAGACAAGTCATTCAGCTGTACAGACTTCTCCTAGGCCCTTAATGGTCCCAGTGAAACAATCCCACACCACAAAAGCTGGGCTAAGGTGCTCCTAGGACAGAGAGGCTGTGAGGATGGAGTTGGGAACCCAGTTTCTTTACTCAGGAGCTTTGAGACATTTCTGGGTTCAAGCCTGGGTCCTAGGCTCTCAGGAAGAGGCTAGCCAGGGCCCAGGGAGTGGGGCCCGGGGCTCAGATCAAGATCTTCTCTCACAGATCATCCTCAACTCCATGCATAAGTACCAGCCGCGGCTGCACATCGTTAAGGCCGATGAGAACAATGCTTTTGGCTCAAAGAACACAGCCTTTTGCACCCACGTGTTCCCAGAGACCGCCTTCATCTCCGTGACCTCCTACCAGAACCACAAGGTATAATAACCACAACCCGCACTGAAACACCATCCAACCTGCCTGCTGCACCTGAGGTGAAGTGAGCTGATGCCAACCCCAGGCAGGGCTCGTGGAGTGTTGGATAGAAAAGCAGAGTGGGACAGACAGTGAGATTGCCCTCCTAGGAAGCAGGGCCCTGGAGAGGGCAGAGCCATGGCCAGCAACTGAAAACTAGAGGCATGGAGTCTGCCTTGGGGTTTGAGGGTTGGACTCTTCTTTTAGAATCTTCCTGTAGGTATAGTTCTGGGCTAGCAGGGAGAGGAACCTGGGTCCTGTCAGCTAGCTGGCTGGCATGTGCCAATCACCTCCCCATCCCTTTCCCCTGGTCATAGGCTGAGGTGGATTTCAGAAGTGTGGCTGAGTCAGATTCGCAGTCACGCAGGAAGCTGTCACAGGGATCAGGAGAAAGTACCATCAGGACTGAAGCAAATAGAGTAGAGAGCCTGGGGCAAGCTCCCGGTGAGCAGCCAGGTCAAGGAAGACCCAGTTGGTCCTGGACCCTGAGCTGTCTTAGGCTGGGGTTCAGCTTCTCCAGGCCATACCGAGGTTCTCATTGGGCCTGAGTTGGGGGGAGGAGGGCTACCAAGCCAGCCTGTCCTCTCTCCTCCCAGCGACTCTGTGTGTCCTTTTCTGACAGATCACACAGCTGAAAATTGAGAACAACCCTTTTGCCAAGGGATTCCGGGGCAGTGACGACAGTGACCTGCGTGTGGCCCGGTTGCAGAGGTGGGGCTGCCCTGGCCAGGGGTGGGACGGGAAGACCCAGGAACCCTAAAGCATCTTCACTCTCTCCCTGCTCCTCCAGCAAGGAGTACCCGGTGATCTCAAAAAGCATCATGAGGCAGAGGCTCGTCCCCAGCCAGCTCTCGGCGAAGCCCGACGTCAGTCCCCTGCACAGCGCACACCAGGCACTGCAGCACTACCAGTATGAGAACGGGGCCCACGTGCCGTTTGCTGCTGCAGAGCCCCAGGACCTGCCCCTCAACACCTTCCCCACGCAAAGGGACTCCAGCCTCTTCTACCACTGCCTGAAGCGCAGAGGTAGGGTTCCGGAAGAGCCTGAGGGCGGGGCTGGGACAGAGCAGCCACCTTCCCACATGCTGGCATGTGGGCCCTCACTCTTGTGTGGCCTTGGGAATCCTCAGACAGTTCTTGGTGTTCCAAGTATGCTGGCCGGAGCCCCAGGTGTTGGTTTGGGAGTCTCGATGGGGTTCCTCCTGCTCGGCTCTGCCTAGAAGGAAGCAGGAAGCTGGATTGTTGGTAGTCTCAGCCACAGAGCAGGGAGAACCCAAAGTTCTGGGTCTGGTGCTCTCCATCCAGCCCTTAAAGATGCACACAGGCGTCTTGGGCACTGAAATGAGTGACTGGGCACTTGGCTTCTGTATAACACTGGCTTGGAAATCAGCAGGTCGAGACAGAGTCAGCTGTGAATAGTGTTACCTTGCTTGCCAAGGGACTTTTGTAGGTCCCCAAAATTCTCTTGGGAGTGAGTCTGGGGACTTTTGCTTATTATAATCTAGAACATTCTGTCAGCCCACTCCTGGAGATGAGCCTGGCAGAATGCCAAGTGTCCTAGATGCAAGTCCCATTATAATCCAGTCCCCTGGAGGTCAGAAGAATGGCCTTTGGGTCATTTTAAAAAGGTGGGTTTTTTTTCCATGTTATTATATAATAGTCAAATTTTAGTATCCATAAATAAAACTTGGTTGGAGCTCAGCCATACCTGTATTTGGTCTACAGTTGCTTTCATAGGTCAGCAACAAAATTGATAATCGTGGTACATACTGATGGCCTTAAAGCCTATACCACCTGTCTGGTCCTCTGCTCCTTCCTGACCCAGAGTGACTGGGTCATCTGCCAAATCACAGGAATTTAGTGCAGGGGAAGGAGTGGGAGAAAGATTTGTAAGTATCCCTGGGTAGCCAGGCATTAGTCTGCAGAGGGGCTAGGAGCCCCACCCCTCTTCCTCCAGGCTGCCCAGCTCTGTATCCATGGCTCCCAGCATGGATCCCTAGAGAAGAAAGCACAGGACAGAGGCCAAGATCAGCCACAGGGAAGTGTTCCTAAATTTGTTGAGAGGGCTGCTGCCCTAGCCCTCAAGCCTCAGTTATCCCTGGATCCCAGGGGAAGACATATTACTCCAGAGGGTTGAGCCCACACAGTGGGGGGCGGGTGGTGGGGTGTTGGAAGATGCAGAAATGTGGTTTGTGGTGGCTGATGGCATCTTTCCAGGGGCTATCAAAGTAGCCTGAACGTTCAGCCTTTTCTCTTGTCACTGGGGCAGCTGCTTCGAAGAGACTGTTAGATGGGGATTGGCGGGACAACGGCAGCTGTGTCTTTTTTGAACCCAGTAGGGTTAAACTAGTCTCAAAACAGCAAAAAGTTGCCTACGAGCCTTTTGGCCCACTGCCTCCTTCCTGAGGCTCTCCGCAGGCACTGAGGGTTGAGGCAGTAACATCATGGCCTTAATTTGCTGGCTAGTTCTGACAGATGTGGTCTCTGGGCCTGGTTCGGCCTGGCAGTTGCCTTCACTTTCCTGGGCCAAGGCTGGGCTAGCCCGAGAATGCCAGTGTGCACAAGGGCCTCTTAGCATCCCGAGAGTCAGGCTGGCAAAGGATCAGAGCTCTGCGTTGCCTGATGCAGCGCATCCCTCCGTGTCCAGTGATGTGGTATCCCCCGTGGCCTTTGACGGGGGTCCACAATCTGACCGCTTCTTGGCCATTGCCACCTTATAAAAGCTGCAGCTGATGTAAACGGTTCTGGGAGTACCAGGCAACATGGGGCCAGGGCGGGTGCTGAGTGAAAAGGGCAGGCTGTCCTGGCATGAGGGGGTGGGGGGGGTGGGGGGGTGGCGGCTGGGTGCACCAGGCCCTGGGCCGCTGGGAACGCCCCTTCCTGAGCGCTTCTTTGTCTTCCAGCAGACAGTGCCCGCCACCTGGACTTACCCTGCAAACGATCCTATCTGGAAACTCCCTCTTCGGTAGGGGACGATCACTATTTCCGTTCTCCCCCTCCCTACGACCAGCAGATGCTGAGTCCTTCCTACTGCAGTGAGGTGACCCCCAGAGAGGCCTGTATGTACTCGAGCTCAGGGCCTGAGATTGCGGGGGTGTCTGCCGTGGACGACTTGCCCCCACCTCCCCTGAGCTGTAACATGTGGACCTCGGTCTCGCCGTATACCAGCTACAGCGTTCAGACCATGGAGACTGTGCCTTACCAGCCCTTCCCTACACACTTCACCACCACCACGATGATGCCTCGGCTGCCCACCATCTCGGCCCAGAGCGCCCAGCCACCAGGAAATGCCCACTTCAGTGTGTATAATCAGCTCTCCCAGTCTCAGGTCCGAGAGCGGGGGCCCTCCGCTTCCTTCCCCAGAGAGCGTGGCCTCCCCAGTGTGTGTGAGAGGAAGCCGCCCTCACCGCACCTGAACGCTGCCAACGAGTTCCTCTACTCACAGAGCTTCTCCTTGACCCGAGAGTCTTCCTTACAGTATCATTCAGGAGTGGGAACTGTGGAGAACTGGACTGATGGGTGATGTGACTGCTGGATTCTTGACAGCCCCAGGACCATGTTAATCCAGTGTTAACCTCTGTGGGTGGCCGGCACTGCCAAGAGACATGGAAAGGTATTTCAGAAGGGGTGTGTGTGTGTGTGTGTGTGTGTGTGCATGCTTGTATGCGTGTGCTTCTACAAGCCTGTATGTGATTGGAGAGCATCTGTCTTCTGACATGCAGCTAAGGCCAAAACAAGAAAAAAAAATACAATTATCTAAGAAGTAATTTTGGCTTCAGGAGCCAAGCCCACTGTTACCTGGCATCTCTTGACATGCCCTGGGTGGGACAGAAGTAGAGGGCTCGTGAGTTATCTAGAGGTTTCTGAACTATACTCTGATTTTACTCAGGGGCCGGCTGAGGCCTCTGGCACAGGGAGGGCCTTTCTTTGCTGGGATTGGGGGTATCTGTGCTTACTTAGGGTTCTTGGCCTTCTACCTGTAAGGGGAGCCGCCCGCCACTCTTGGGAACAGGAGTACCCCCCTCCTTTGGCTTCTGGAGATTGTATGAGACTACCTGAGCCTTAGAGAGCTGTGAGAGTGGAGTTGGCCATGCATCAGCCTGGACATGGAGTCCTGAAGCTCCAGGGTCTGAGGCATGACTTTCAGAAAGGGTCATGTGCCAAATGTCACCTCATGGTGCTTGCTTTTCCCCCGAGAGGAAGAAAAATGCCACCAGTAGTTATCTCTGTAATCAAGTTTCGTCATCATAAAGTCCAGAGCTGCTCCCCCCAGTCACAGCATGCGGCCTCTCAGATCCCTCTGCAGCCTGTGATGGGCAGTCAAACACACCTTACCTGGCAGCATCCCGTGGAGGTCTCATCAGAACTGATGTTACACATCTGCTAGACCCGCTCTGCCCCCAGGAAATCTGCATCCCTGGAGCAAGGAAGCCGGCAGAAGGAAATGGACAGCTCAGAAAAAGTACGTCAGCGTTCCCGCTCAGAGGAGCAGAGAATTCTTTCAGAATGGGCAATGAGGAGAGCACATACTCAGTCCATTAGCATTGAATGTCACCAGAATGGCAGGGTGGCTGGTGTGAACTCTAAATCAGGATTTGGAAATCACTACACTCTTTGCATGCTGAATAGCTATTTATATATTATATAAATAAATATATAAATAAATATATCTATATCTCACAAATGCGGGCCACACGTCAGATTCAGCTTTGCTTTTTTACAAATAGACTTACTGAAAAAGGATGCTGGAGGGAGTATTTGGAAAGACATCTATTTAAATTTTTATTACATTTGATGTTATCTAAGAATGGTTTAGATTATATATAAATATATAATTATAAATGCACACACTACAGATAAAGCTTTATTAGAAAACACATTAGCTGACAGGTGGTATGAAACTTCCAAGTGTTTTGGTATATAGCATGGACATTTTATTTTGCATATTGGAACATAAAGCCATCTTACAACTGTGAAGTGTGTGTGTGTCCTTTATTACTGTCTTGCCATTGCTTGGCAGTGGTGTCTACCCCCCCTTTTCACTCATTTTTTCTTCAAGTGTCTGGTGGGGCCCTCAGTGCCCCTAAGCATTTGTACGTACCATGGGCCCTCAGAGTGAAGGAAGAAGTTCCAAGTCCCTTCAATCTCATGTTACTCCCCAGGTTATGGGGCTACGTTCCAGGGCTCACAAAGACCCAAGAAGGATAGAGTGGGCAGGCAGCGAGGATCTCCTCTCTCTTAGCAGTTAGCACAACCCTGCACTTTGGGGGAAGAAGAGACTCCTTGGTAGCATTTGGGCAGTTATTTCAGAAAAGTAACTACAGAGCACGTTTGAACCAGAGTCTGGGGTTTTCTGGAGCGGCTGGCAGTGTGAGTCTCTCAGCTGCCGTCACACTAGTGGGTATGAAGCAAGAGCCTGGCCTCAAGGTAGACAGTTTTGGGGAGATGAAACCCAGCCTGGGCTTCTCTCATTAGGTGAAGAAAAGTGGTTAGAGGAAGGTGCTGCTGGAAATGGACCCACAGCTCTCACCCTCACAGCTTCTCCACCCCCAAGATACTTTCTCCATCACCATGGTCTCCATTTAAGATGGTCTCAAAACCCAGGAGACAGAGGCGACTGTAGCGATGCTTTTAAAGCCTCTTCCTCAGGACCACGATCTGCTCAGCAACTTGTCTGGGCTCTTCCTTGTGGCTCTCCAGGGCCCTCTGACTAGGCAACTTCCCACTGCCTTACCTGTTGGTGGCCACCAGGACTTAGTCACAGAGAAAGCCTTGATTTAGCTCAGGGACAGGGAAGGTGGTTCTTAACTCTCAAGTGCTCTGCTCATTCCTTTCCAAAGATAGTACCCTATCCAGGACACTCCTTACCTGGAGGGCTTGGGTGTATGTTTCTCGAATCTCTCCAAGTACTTCCTTAGCCGAGTATGGGAAAGTCATTCCCAAAGATGTGCTCAACCTGAGGCAGCACACAGAGTCTTGACTTTCTGGGAAGCATGAGTTTGCCTGGCTGCCCCACCTGGGCATAGCAAGAGCCAGGCCTGCAGTGGGATTTGTGAAACTTTTCCTGCCCCTCTGAATCAACAACTCGATAAAAAGGGGGCACATGGGATCTTGTAGAACAAAGGGCACCATTCAGTAGCGCCAGCAGGTCATACATCATCGGCCCAGAAGCCTGCCACATGACCATGCCTGCTTCTACTGTGCCCTGCTTGGGAAGAAAAAAGAGCTGATTATCACTCAGTTACGTGGCCATGATCGGGTGGCCCCCTGAGTTCTGCTCCAGCCAAGGGCTACAGGTCTTGCAGCCTTGAAGATCAGCCACCCGACTACCCTCAGTGACAGCAGGTCCTGGAATCACAAAAGAGAAGCTGGGTCAAACTGACAAATTGTTAAAAAACCAAAGCGATTTCTAGCTTCATCGGGGCCTCAGGGGGTCAAGAGGCCTCTGCTGGCCCCTCTAATGGAGCCTGCTAGAAGAGAAGCAGCCTGGCCTTGCAGTGCCTTATCTTACAACATAAAATTAAAACCCACTTAAAAGGCCGGAGGGCATGTTGACATTCAGCCTGCTGTCTAATTGAAGTAGTTCCCAGTGCAAAGGATTTTACTTGAAAGATGTCTCCCTCCAAGCCAGGCTCTCCTGCCTGCTGGGGCAGGGGTGGTGGGGAGGGAGAGACTGTCATTTCAAAGACCTGCGTGAGCTCAGGCCAGAAAAGCACACAGTTTCTGCTTGTGGCCCCCAGTGGTGGAGGGGCGTGGGCAGGTGGTGACAGCCAAGGTTAGAACAGGCTAAGTTTTCTAGTTTGGCAAAATTTACAAATTCATTAGCAGTTATGTCAGCAGAGGCCAGACTCATTCAGGTAATGATTCAAATATGGCGAGCCCCACAGCAAAAACCTGGCAGCGTCTGTGGCCCAGAGGTTTCTCTTCCACCCCCCAAGCAAGCCCTATGCAAATCTCTCACGGGTCTCCAAGGCATACGGAATCAATCAGGGACATCCTGTAAAGGGTGGTGAACTTGCACTGGCCATCCCGAGTAATGGGAACCAGTCAGCCCAAAGCTGGCTGGGACTGAAAGCCAAGGTGACAGCTATTAAGCAATCGTGCGCAGAACAAAATGGCAGAGGGCCGGATAATCAATTCAATTTCAGTGGGCAGCCCACGCAACGGCCGCGTCTGTCGCAGCCGATTAGAGGGGGCCAGCCTGGAACTTTCAATGCGAGCCCATCGCAGATCAGAAACAGGCCCCGGGATGAAAAGGGAATGACCGTCTCCTGAGGAGCGGGCGATGAAGGACTCTGTTTTATGTGACCGTGTTCTTCCTCTTCTCCTTGAAGAAAGAGAAGGGGAAAAAAAGCCAGCAGTTTGGAGATTAGATAGTTCTTTTCAGCCATTCATCATTATGAAGGAAAGTAGACAGGGCAAGAGCCAAGAAAGCTCCAGCGGGATTTCTGTGAAGTCTCACGGCGAAGGACCGGCTTTATGCCGCAGCCACCAGCCCCTGCCTATTACCACAGTCTGATGGGGCCTGCAGAGCATCCAGGGTCCCTCTTCTCCAACAATGGCAAACAGGCCCCAGGGCTCAGAGGATCACAGGCCTTCTCCTGCAGAAACTCCAAAAACCTCCAAATTGTATCATTTGTGAAAATTAAAAGCCTGAGCTAGACTAACGAGGAGAGAAGGAAAATGGAAGAGGAAAAGACGAGAGGGCTGTGTCTCTTCCTGGACCAAGGTCAGAGCAGCAAAGGCTCCTTTGGCATCTGCTGCCTGTCAGCACTAATCCAAGCCTGATGGCAGCCCCCGACAAAATTCTAGGCTCAGACTTGGTTGCTCTAGTCTCTGGTATTGGGGCCTCTGGACACAGAGCAAGGGATGCCCCTTAGGTACAGAAGCCAGGGGAGAGCAGCTAGAGAGAGATGGGTGATGCTGGTGAGCAGAGATGTAGGAACAGGAGGGAAGGGGCCATGTTGGAGCGGGAGGGCACAGGGCCGTGCTGGGCCGGGCATGCGGGGGAAAGGGCTGACTCAGAGAACCAGAGTGAGGGGTGCATGTGCTTGGGTGGCTCTTACGACAAGAACTACAAAGATGATTAAACCAACCTCATAATAACATAAAATGCAAGCCGAGGGGCAGTGTGCCACTCCCGTCAACCATGAAGTAGGAAAAGAAAAGGGAGCCTTTAATGGTTATTGCTGGTGGGAACAGACTGCTAGTTTTTCTGGAAAAAGCAATTTGGTAGCCTGGACAATGACTCTACAAGTTTTCACATCCTTGAGAGAAAGAATAGCCAGAGATGAAGACGCAGCTGGACACTGTGCAAGGCTCACTGTATTATTATTTTTAAAGTCCCCACTGGCAGAAAGCAAATTGGTAAATGATGATTTCCTCATATTCTGGGACATGATGCAGCCAATGGAATTATGATTACAAAGAGCCTTTAATGGCATGGGAACCGATTAAAAATTAAGTAAAAAGGAAAGGCATAATAGAACATGATCTCAAGAACATTTAGATTAAAAACTGGAGTAACCAAACTAAGTACCATTAAGTAACAATAAGTGAATCAAATACATACCCATGACTTCTTATGTGAACAAAGAAGAGTAATAGTCTAGTCTCCCAATTTTGTACAACACAGAACTAAAATCAAACCTATGTGTGTGTGCAAGCACGTATACGTACATGGTGTGCACATGCATGTGCACATATTAGGGGAGGTGATTCAGAAGGACTGGTCTGAGGCTTCTCACCCACATCTCTGTATTGTTTACCTTCTTACAATAAGCATAGGATCACTCCTGCAATTAAAAGATATAATTAAAAAACAAAAGAAAAATAAGGTGTCGTTATGGAATCCCTTGAACTAAAAGAAACTACCCAAATACTAAGAACAGTAACTGCGGGAAGAGGCTGAAGCCGCTGCTTAGGGACTCAACTGGACAGACTGCCTTGGGAGCTGCCGTACCTTGTCTGTTTCCTTTGGACTCTCCCAGGCCTTCAGTGCTGCTGGTGGGTGATGTCTCGGGCTGCAACCTTCTAGCTCATAGAGTATTCTGTCTGACACCATCTACATGTGTGGTTCCTCCTACAAAACATGCCCACGAACCTTAAAAGTCCAGCCACGCTTTCCTCTCCTGATACCACTGTGGGAGCCCGTTCTCGGGTTCCTCGTGGCTTTACCCAGCAGGTCCGCATAGAGGATGATTAGGACCACGGGCCTGAGTGCAGGTGTCTGAGATGGTCTGCACTTGGCTGTGCTGGGGGAGCAGGTCTTTTGCTCCACCCCTTGGCGTCTCTATAAAAACCCTGGGGCAGAGACAGTCGGGGCCCGTTGGAATAGGTTCCAGGCCCTCTCGAGGCTATCCTTTATTTTCTATCTGTTTATCTCCACAAGATTCTCCGCAATAAATCCTTCTATCTAATATTTCCTGCTGCTCGCACTCAAGAAAACTCTGGGGAACTGTGGGGTTGGTGGGTAAACGCCCCCCACACCACCTCCTGGGTTATTTCTACTAAAGATATGAAGGTCATCCCACCCTGCCTGTTCTGACCCAAGCCAACACTGCCTCTCTGCCTTCCTCTCACTGTTATGGGCTTAGGGCTGACTCCTTGTGCTCCCTACCAGCTCACTTCAAACCCATGCCAAACGATGCAGATTCTGCCTCCCAAAACTCTCCTAGCTGAGCCTTTCTCTCATCCCTCAGGCCTGGCAGTGTCTACATCATCTGGTAAATCCCTGGGTCTGGGCTACTGTCTCCCTTCAGTCAGAGATTTGGGATACTGTGAGTGGTACTTAGGTGTCACCCATGTGTGATGGCCACTGAGACCTGTAGAACCCAAGAGCTATGTTTGACAGAGAGAGGAGTGCTGCCTTTATGGGGGTCCCTGCCTTCAGCCTGGGGTAGCACCCCCACAGGTGTGGCATGGAAGCAAGGCAGATTAGCTTCCAGGTCACAGGCTACTCCTAGGGTAATGGGCTATTTGAGCATCCTTCTGCCCAACGGGCCTGCACTGGAATGTGATGTTTACAGTGACAGCTGTCTACTTTTCTTCCTGTGTCCTAGAGGCATGTAGGCACAGGAAGACTAGATCAGGGATAAATCCAGCATTCAGCCTTGACAACTATCATCCCTGGGACATTTCAAATTGTCTGCTTTCTTAGAGGTGGCAATTCCATGGGAACCGCACTCAATCCATGCCGACAGTCAACTGACTTTGTCTCAAGAAAACAAAACTAAAGACACATCCAAGCATGGCTCCCTATGTAAGGGAACTTAGGACACGGTCCTGATGGAGGGAGCATGCTCAGGAAATTCCCCCCTTCATCCCTTCACAGCCTGACCTCTTTCTCAACCCTAGCACCTTGTACCTGTGTGGGTAGAGGAGGTGGCAGCCCAAAGCATCACTGGCCATCCTCCCTGCAGACAAGCTGGCGGCTAGGTGTATCCCCAGGATGCGCCAGTCTAGACCTTCTGGATTTAAGGAATTAGACTTTTTCCAACAAAATCTCATGGCACTGAACGTCACTGCCATTTGGAAGGTGCAAAGTGTGGTTCTGATTTTTGACTGGACTTGCTGCAGAAATATGGCAGTTGGGGCTGAGATCTCCTAGGTCTGGGGATTCCAGCAGGTTGTTCCAAGCTGGGCTGCATCTAGGTGGAGCTTGTTGGAACTGAGCTGGTCAGGAATTAGAAGGCCCAGAGCCAAAGGCTCTTGGTTTGTTGTTGTTGTTGTTGCTTTGTTTTTCTGTTTGTTTTTTGTTGAGGTGGGGGTCTCAGTAGCCCCGGGGGGCCTGGGACTTACTATGTAGTCCAGGCTCAAAGCTTCCCAACTATTGTGATTACAGGCCTGAGCCATCAAAGCTCAGTGTAGCAGAGGGTCTCCGTTGGCTCTGCTGGTGAATCTGTGGAAGGTCCCTTCCAGCATCCAATTTTTGGACCACTGAGCCAGGTGGTTTTTGAGCCTTTCTTCCTGACCAGGGGAGGACTCCACTCCCTTCTGTTTCTATTCTAAAGATACCACAGCCTTCCAAACAGTGCCGCCCCTGAGTCAGACCCAGCCCCTTGCCTTCTGGCTTGTGTTTTTAAGCCACAAGGTCATTTCTTGGTT